GGGCGTGGCCGGGCTGGGGCCGCGGCGGCGGGAGGCGCATTCCCGGCGCGCACAGCTCTATTGTTACATAAAAGTGCCCGGGCCTGCCCCTCCCGGGCGGAAAACCACCTGTGTGCGGCCGGCGCGGCGCGGGAGGGCTGCGGCCGGAAGGCGCGGGCCCTGATCCGGTCTCCCCTCCCTGAGCCCCGGAGGAAAAGAGGCCGCGCTTTGTCCCGCCGCTGCCTGGCAGGCGGAAGCGGGGCGCCCCCTCTTTGCGCTTTGCGCCCAGCGTGAACAGAGCGAGGGCGCCCAGGGTCGCGGGGTCTTCCCTCGCCCGGCGCCCCGCACCCACGGGCCTGCCTGCGGACGCCCCCGCTGCGATTTGCATTTTTTAGTCACCCGCCTCTTGCTTGCTTTGGGAAATGTGGGATAAAAAAAGGCGGCTGCGAGGCCCAGGTTGCCAATTTTGGAATCTGCTGCCGGCAGGCCGCCCCTGGAGGAGCGTGTTCGACGGAGGTGGGGGCTGCCGCGCTCCTCTCCAAGCCTTTTTTGGGCAGCCCTTGGAACAAAACTCCCATATTTCAGTGGATATCTTGCAGTTCCCGCTGGGGGAGGCCTGCGCTGGCGTTGACGCCCCCAATCTTTCCCGTGTCTGTTACAGACGTTTCCACCCCAAGATGTTTCAGTCATTGGAACCTGGGAGGGGAGAGGCAGGGTGCCCCGCAGCGGAACTGGAAAGAGCAAATCTTTCAACCCAGGACCTGCAGCAGAAGACGGGGGCAGGAAGGAAGGGAGAGAAGTTGTTAAAAGTGGAGTTACTCGAGTCAGAGCATAGGTTTGGTGGGACGATCTCAACACTTTGGAAATCTGAAGATCAAAACCGTTTCACCCAAGCTTTTGAACCCTATAGCAACGGGATTGTCGGTCCTTCCCGGCACATTTAATAAAAGGTCACCTGACCGCTGGGTCCTAAGAAGTGCGGCGTAAAGGGGCTCTGGGGTGAGACAGCCCAAGTTTGAATTGTGGCCCCCACCTCCTCTAGATGGGCGACCTTGGTTCAATCATCTTTCTGTTCTAAGTTGCAGTCTTCCACGTTGGCATAATGAAGATAAAAATATGTTTCGTAGGGTCGCTGTGTTGGTTAAATGGGTACATAGAAATGCTCTAACGTGGTAGTGGTGTGCTATTAGTTATAGATATTATTTTTATCGTTATGAATTGACCTACAAAACGGCCTGGGTTCTTCGGGACTTTTTTTTTAATCCTGAGGACGCTCTCCGAGGCCTGCCTGACAGCCCGCTGGACTCGCTCATCTGCAGCAAAACCTTCCAAGGAAATACCCTAACTATTTTAATCTATTGCCATTCAGCTGTCAAGCAAAGCAGGTGTTGTCCTAGAGGAGGCTCAAAATTCTTTAATACAGTTAACAGGATGGACCCAGCCACAATTCTAACTTCTGCCTTTGTTGCCTGTTAAACACCCTGTTTTCCACCCACACCAAACTGATAAAATAGAAATAGTGTATGTTGGGCATTTACTACATGATGGATACGGTCTTGTTTCTGTGTTTACGTACATAATTTCCTCCGATCTTCAGAAAACCTATGTAAATTATCCACATTTACAGAGATTAAGGAATTTGCCTGAGGTCACACAGCACAGCATGGGGTTAGGACTTGAGACCCTTGACAGATCTTTAAGGATTACCATACACACACATTACAGGGTGTTGTGGACACCATATTCACCTCCACATGCTGTTTCCTGCCAAAATGTGAAGGATTTCAAGGTCTGTATTTCGCACTTTGATTGTCAGGCATTTCCAGCCTCATATACTCGGTTGCACCCTCCCCACAGATGTCAAGGACTGAAAATTAGGCTTATTTCCCTGATCCTTGAACACACCAGTGGTTTTCTTTGACTGCATGCATCTCTTTATTAGTCAACCATTCACGAAATTCTGCCTATTTTCTCATTCTTGGAGTATGTCCTATATTTTAATCCTTACAACTAGCATTACTTATCAGTGGTTCAGTGTAGCACATGGGCCTGGGTTCAAATTCACCTTGGTCACTCACTAGTCTGGCAGAGGGAAAGTCACTTAGCCTCTCTGGGTCTCACTTCATTCATTCATTTATTTACTCATTAATTGTAGGTTCCAGGAAAGCAGCAGTGAATGAAACAGGAAAGAATAACCCGCCTTCCTGGAGCTTACATCCTAGTGAGGATGGACAATAAACAAAATAGATAATTATACAATATATTAGACAGTGAAAGTGCTATGGAGAAAAGGCAAGGAAGGGAATTCAGAAGTGTATAAAATTGAGAATACATATACCTACCTCAAAGGACTGTGAGGA